CAGCGCGGCGGTCTCAATAAACGCCCGCTTGGCGCAGCTCGGCGCAGCCGGGCCGAAACCGAAAGCCGATGCCAGCCGTGCAGCGGCAATGCGTGCACACTGGTCAGAGTGGCTCGGTGGAGCTCGGTGCCAGCGCGGCCATTAACCGACAAAACGCCCCGACGGCGCCAAATCACCAATCGAGCCAGGGCCGAGAGTCGTTTTCGTCGCTCCGTCTCCCTCACACTCGTGGGGCGTCCCGAGAGAGGCAGCGACTCTCGGAATCAGTCTGCAGGACTAGGACGGCGACGACGCCTTCATCCGCGGCCATTACGCCGCCATCAGTCACCGCGGCCCGCGGGGCGGCAGGCCGACGGGACGGGCCGACGGGTACCCTCTCGCACGCCAACGGGAGCGAGAGAGACAGAGCGACGCAGCCTGCCTGCCTTCGCAGAAAGGGCAATCCGAGCCGCCAACACACATGGCGGCGCATATTGCCGAGGCATAATAATTAGGCTGGAGTGGAGGGGCGACTTCGACGACGGGCTCCTTACCGGGCAACCGAATGCATCCCACGCACGCCGCACGCCAGGCTCGGCGTCCGCGGCGACAGCTCACCTGTAACAGGGCAGGAAGGACGGCGTTGAGTTCGAGCAAGGCGGGGCCAGGCGGAGCAAGGGCATGGCACATGGGTAGGACACTGCTGGGTGCCGGCCGGGCGCCCCGAGGTGTGCGACGGAGCGCGCGCTGGCGGCCGACCTTGGCGGCGGGGGACATGGACACCTCGACGCGCGCACCTGACACGCCACCGAGTGGACCCGGATTCGTTCCCACGGCGTCGTCGTCCACCGCGCGGCGCCCACACAACCCGGCCACGCCGCGCCGTCTTTAATCGGTTATCATTTGAAAGGACACGCGGCCTCGTCCCTCGGCCCGCCAAATGACGGCGTCGCGAGTGACCCGCCGCCGAGGGCCGGAGCGGCACCACGGCCCGTTTCCGGCCGGAGTCCCACGCGAGGGCCGCGGGGAGGGGAGGGGAGGGAGACGGGGACACGACATTCATTTGTCGCATGCAACCGCACACGCGACCGCCGCCATTTTCGTTTCATTCCAAGTGTCCGTCCCTATCCGAGCATCCGCGGGCCGGCCCGCTGGGATTGTCTGGCGGCAGGGCCGCGCGGCGCGGACGGACAGAGACAGAGGGGCGCGGGGTAGGGCGAGGCGGGGCGCCGGTCGCGGGTCGGGCTGGGTCCACTATTTGCGGACGCGACACTTATAGCCGCACCGGCTGCTCCCTGAGACCCAAGACGTCCAAGACGTCCAAGACGCGCGGGGGCCGTCGCCAAAGCCGCCCTTAAGGCCCTTGGTCGCCTTTGCGCGCCTTTGTGGCCCGGCCCTTGGGTGCCCTTGGCTCCAACCACTGCTCCTTCCACGCGGCGACGGCGCCAGTCCCCCAAAAAGGGCTCGCAGTGCCGCACCGGCCCGGCCCTTCGTTTAGTGCAGTGTCGACAGAGTGGGCCGTCGCGGCCAGAGAGAAGGGCCGAAGGGAAGGGCCCTGCCGAGGGACAGAAAGAGGCCACTGCCACTCCACCCTAAGCCCTTGGCGGCGGCCCTCGGCGCCCTCGGCCCTTGGGTCTGGCCGGCTATTTCAGGACGCTGGTGCGTGTGGTGGCCGGCGGGGACGCGTCAGGGGGCTGCTGTCAATCGGGGCGCCGCGACGCGCCGCGACGCGCCGCGACGCACCGCGCGGATTGCACGTGCAGTCAAGCCAGCCAGCGCCGCCTGCCGCCGTCACGGTGGAGTCTTGACCTATTCACATGGCGGCCCCGGCGGCCCCGCGCGCCACGGGCCGCACCGCCCAGCCAGGGCACGCAACATAGCGCCGCACCGCTGCGCCGCTGCGCCCCGCCGCGCGCCACCGCGCCACGCCCTGCGGCAGGCCTGCCAGGCCCCGATGCAGCACGGCCAGCGCAGCAGCGCAGCCGGGCCGCGAAACCGGTTCCCCCAGAACAAGAGGCGGCGGCCGGCGCAGCAGGATGCACCACGCAGCGCGAGGAATGCGTCTAGCCCGTGCAGCGCAGCGCGCAGCGGCAGAGTGGAGTGGCTCGGGCAAGCGGCCGCATTGGCGGGTAAACACTCCAGCCTGCCGGCCTGCCCTGCCGGGTCCGGACTGGCCAGGCGACCAGTTACGCCCCCCCGGCGACGTGGCCGAGTCCTCGGCGCGGCCCCCCGCGGACGCTCGGCCACGCTCGGCGCGACCAAAGCAGTGTCCGGACCACGCCGCCACGCCCCGCGCGGCACTATGGCCCATGGGAAGCACGGACAGCTGCCGAGCGGCCACGACCGCGACGCAAGTACAGACATCAGCCAGCATCAGCACACCCGTTCCGTGAAGCCGGGACGGCCCGGACGGCCCGGCCGGGACGCTCCGACGCCCTCCCCGCGGTCGCCTCGCTGTTTGGACTTCCCTCGCCTCGCCCCGCCGCGCCGCGCGCCCCCGAATGTATCGTCGGCCGGCCGTGCAAAGCACCAAGCACTCTGCTCGGCGGGGCCATGGCGGGGCGACGACGCCGGCCGAGGCACGACCGCCACAGTGTGGCCATCCACATCGCCACCAGCGGGGAAACGCGGCGGCCTAAGTGGCCTGCTCTGCGAGTGGGAAAGGTCTTCTGGGTAAACACACACGTCCGCGCGGCGCGGCGCAGCGCTATTCGCAGTGCGGTAGCGCCTTTGGAGAAAGACACACATCATCCTCGCGGCGTGAAAAACAGAACGCCGCGCAGCAAGCGATTCCGAGGGGTCGGTCGCTCTCGCTTCCACGCGGGGCGCTACGTGAATGCGAGAGACAGAGAGGAGACCCATCCGCTCGGAATCAGTCTGCGGAGGCTTTCAGCGAGCGGGAGCTCCACTGCTCCACGCGATGGAGCACAGCAGGACAGGCCGCCGAGCCGCTGAGGCTGCTGAGCGACGCCGGAGGATCGCTTCGCTTCGCCTCGTCCCGCTCGTCGCCGTCGAGGTCGAGAGGGAAGGGAAGTCCGAGGCAGCCGGCGCGATCGCCACTCACAGTCCAGACAATAAAAATGACCGCTTATTTTCATCCAGATTTTCTTTCGAAAGTTCACCTTCACCGTCACTCTGAGGCCCGCGTCGAGGAGGCAGTGCCATTTCAATTCGAGTAACGACCCGTCTGGGCCCGGGGGCCTGCCTCTCTAGGTCCGGCCAGGCCGGCGGCAGCACAGCCCATAGGCCCATTGAACCGAGAGCCGGGCGAGCCGGGCCCGGCTTGTTCCAACCAAATTAGAATATTATCTCAAGTGATCGGTAAGAGGTAAAAGCGGGCCGGGCCAGCGTCGGCCGGGACGCACCGGGACGCACCGGGACGCACCGCGGGAGAAAGAGAGAGAGGGGAGAGGCCGCGGCACGGAGAGAGAAGAGGAGAGGGCGCCGCGCTGCGCCAACGCCGACCAATCAGGCGCCCATTCAAAACATTTCCAACCTGTCGCCGCAGGTACCGGTGTTCGAGCCCGGCCCGGCCCGGCTGGGGGAGGCGCGGGGCGTCGCGCGGGGCGCGCAAAGTCAGCCCGGATTAGGATTCGCGTGAGAAACGCAGCGGCGGCGCCGCGGCCTTCGCGCTTCGCGCCCAATTCCAATTCGATCCAATCCGCACTTGTCCGGGCCACCGAGGGGACGAACCGCGTTCAGCCAGACTGCTGCAAACTGATTCCGAGAGTCGTTTTCGTCGCTCTGTCCCTCTCGCACCTGTAAGGAGCCTGCGCGAGAGAGACACACGGCGGCGCCGCCGCCCCAGCGGTGTCATTCACACAAGAGTCGGAGCCTGAAGCCCGGCGGAGCCTGGCGGATGCAGCCATTGGCGTAATTACACGTGCGCTACCTGTAGGCCCCCACCCCACCCCTCCCCACCCCGCCCCCCGCGCGCCGCGCCGCCGGCGGAAAGTCGGCCATCAGTGATGCGCGATTCGTTCAATTACCTTCCGGGAGACGAGAGGATGAGTTGCAGCAGGAAAACGAGCGGGGGAGGGCGGATTTTCCACCAGAGATTACTGACCCACTTGCCACACTTTGCTTTTTGAATTAAATATCCTCTCTTAAGAAAACTATGTACATGCACCAATTACTATCCCATCTGAGAAGACAAAGTCGAGCAGCTCAAAGAGATGAGGGACCTGAGAATGCCAGCCTGAAAGCAAGTGTGCCACCTTCAACTTTGGCAATCAGCCATCGGTTTCAGGCATACAGAGGGAAGATATACTTAGGACTGTACAGCTCCGACAGCCTACAACCACTGCGTGTCTATGTTCCTGCTAGCCATATTAAAAAAATTCACGACTCAAAAGTCCTCTTTGACTTCATTGATCAAAAAAGTTGGGAAAATGCAACATTTTTCAGCTACCTGAGTCCCTCCTCAAAGAACTATTTGGAGGGCAGGTAGAGGTATACTAAAGTGAAATCCCACATCCCAATTGAAAATGTTGAAAAGTAACACACTGAAATTTACAAGAAAGAAAAATAAATAGATGTATGCAACAGGGTTGAGGAATCCATAAGTACCCTCAACACGTTCAGCTGAGATTACTTTGCAAGGTTTCAAGAGGGCAACAGGCAGACCCTCAACTTGAAAAGATGCCCCAAAATTTACAAATGTTGATGCAACCAGACATAATGCACTGGAAAACATACTTACATAAAATTTTCTACATGAAATGACATAAACATAACCAAACCATGCTGCTTAGGCAACTTGGTATACTTGGTGTTCTGCACAGCACAGGTAGACTTGTCTTCTCAACTAGCTTGTTCAGCCGCAATCTTAGCACGGTCACAATACCGAAACCATATGTGAACCACAAAATTACTTGTTGTTCAATGAGAACCGGACACACCACAGCTGAGCTCCGCGCTCCGCCTCTCACCCACTTTCTCCAGGCAACCTAACCGTCTTGACAGCTGAGTTTGAGGTTCTGCATGGAATGTGTAAAAAACCAGCCGTAACTCCGATTTACCTTTTCTTTCGCTCTCCCAGCATGTTTCTGCACCGATCTTGCAATTAAAGTACTCTTACTCTCAGCCATCTTGAGCACACGCAAAGTACACCAACTTGTCCTCACTCAAATCCGTTTCTCTACTGCCCCCAAACAAGCAAGAGCAAGAGCGACTGCAGACGGAGGTTGGTTGAAAACACAGACATCCGACAACGTCGAGACCAGGGGCGCATCGCTGTAGTTCGCACTGTGGTCGACGAGAGCGCTGCATCCGCTAGAGGGAAGTAACTAACCTCGCTTTCTTCCTCGATACCGTGAAAGAACTCATTTTTTCGTGGAGCTTCTCATACTTGAAACTTTAAATTTTAATTCTGTAACCATCTTGTTTTCATTCTTACCTCTAAAATTGCTTTAGGGATGCGGAAACAAATGCAGCTGGCAGTGACTGCAGCGCCTCTGGTGTCAGAAGTTGGCACTTTTCAAACTCAAGCTCCGTTGTAGTATCCCTAAAGTAACAACTAGAAAAATATCAACACAAATTTTATTGTCATGTTGACAATATTTAAAGGACTACAAAATTTGAAGATTTAATTAAATTTCTTATTTCACTCCAAAAGTTTTATTCATAATTACTACGTTAGCCTGGCGACGGTGTTGAACTGGTTTTAAATCATGTGTATGTTGGACAGCTTGACAACTGTCAAAACCGCGCCGCCTTAGTCAAATCACATAACTGACTAAAACAAAGTCCACTCGAAGATATTTAACCTGTCTCTAGGGTGGACATTTAAAGTGGAATTTCTTCCTGTATCCGTGTATATTTTTGTTTGAAAACCGAAACACTGCAAGCTAACATGCCCAGCGATAGCCAAGACGTGACAAACCAGAGATGGGCCCACCTACGCAAAGTCCTGGAGCGTTCCGGCCCATTTTGCCATCCTGACTTTGAACCGTCTACTGAAACCCTGAGTTTTCTTATGAGCTCCTGTAAAATCCTTGTGATTGGAGCTGGAGGCTTGGGTTGCGAGCTCTTGAAAGACCTTGCACTCATGGGCTTCCGGGAAATACATGTCATTGACATGGATACAATTGATCTATCAAATCTCAACCGCCAATTTCTTTTCCGTCGCAATGACATTGGCCAGTCTAAGGCTGAGGTGGCAGCTCGATTTGTTAATGCAAGAGTTCCTGGATGTAATGTCACTCCTCACTTCAAAAAAATTCAAGATTTTGATGAGTCGTTCTATCGCCAGTTTCATATTGTCGTATGTGGATTGGATTCCATTGTCGCTCGACGATGGATCAATGCTCTATTAGTTTCCATGCTTACTTATGACAATGAAGGTGCCCTAGACCAATCAAGTATCATCCCTATGGTTGATGGTGGTACTGAAGGTTTCAAGGGCAATGCCAGGGTTATTCTACCTGGTATTACAGCCTGTATCGAATGTACTTTAGATTTATATCCGCCTCAGGTAAAAACAATTGTAAGATCTATATATTAGTTCTTCCTTCATGTATGTTCCTAATCATGTTTTGCTCTTATGCTCTTCAGATTACTTATCCTTTGTGTACAATTGCTAACACACCACGTTTGCCCGAACATTGTATTGAATATGTCAAGCTGATCCAGTGGCCGAAAGAGAATCCATGGGATGTGTCAATTGATGGTGATGACCCCATGCACATCAATTGGATTTTTGAAAAAGCCTCTGAAAGAGCTTCACAGTTTGGAATTCAGGTGTGTATGCATTGAAACTGAACATTCAGCTTGAAAGCCTCACATGCGGCATTAAACCCATTTATTAAAACCGTTATTTTTCTGCTACAGGGGGTCACCTATCGATTAGTTCAAGGTGTTGTAAAGAACATTATTCCAGCAGTGGCTTCCACCAATGCTGTAATTGCTGCTGCTTGTGCCACAGAGGTGTTTAAAATAGCAACAAGCTGTTGTGTACCTCTAAATAATTACATGGTCCTGAATGTGGTTGATGGTATCTACACATATACTTATGAAGCCGAGAGGTATTTCTTTAAGAAAGCTCCTTCACTTAGTAAAATTGAATCTTGAGTTCATGAAAATTGATACTTATACTTTTTGTTTGTCATGCAACAGAAAAGAAGATTGCCTCATTTGTAGCCAAAAACCAAAGGTTTTGGAAATTGTTGACGCAAATGCCAAGTTGCAGGAAGTTCTAGACATACTTTGTGCTGACCCAGCTTTCCAAATGAAAGCTCCTGGGATCACTACATCAGCTGGTGGAAAAGTTCGCACACTGTACATGTCAAAAGTTGCCAGTATTGAGAAGCAGACCCGTGATAACTTGAAGAAATCTCTTGATGAATTGGGACTGTTTGATGGTTGTGAACTTTTTGTTGCTGATGACACTACACCAAATACTGTTACAATCAAGCTGTCTTTCACTAACACCTGTGTTGAAATGCAAGAATTGTAAAACAGCGAATGAAATTGTAAACTTGGGGAGAAAGAAGAATTTAACTTAATTGTGATATTTATAGTAAAAGTGAGGAATAAATTAATGTAAACTGTGCTTTTAATTTCCATTATTGATTTGTACTTTACCGAAAGATTGTTCAGTAACTACTGTCTCAGCTTTATAATAAGAAAAAAATACAACTCACAAATGGTACAACAAACAAAACAAACATTTTTGTACAAAAATATAAAACTTCCTTGAACAAAAAAAAAAATTAAAAAATGAGGAAACTTGTTGATAGGTACACATGAGCACTACTTATACTGGGAACAAACCACTCACAGAAATCTTAACTAAATTAGAATTAACAATGAGAGAGAGTTACACCCTATTTCCTATCTTAAGTACATCACAGTTCAATTTTTCTCTTTTTACGGTCACTTTCTCTCACTTGAGGTCCAAATTCTTCTCCTCCCTAGAAAAAGAGACAAATAAGTTAAAATACAAACTGGTGAAGTTCAGTGAACCAGAATAAACTGAGAGTGATTACATTACCTCTATGAAAGCTCGTCCAGGATATGCCTTGTTCTCTATCAAAACTTGGGCACACTTTTCTTGTTCAACAATAAAATTTTTAGCATCCCATGCCTGAGCACCATCTTTAAATAAAAAGATGGCTCTGTCATCCCCAATCAAGTACCTGTGAATTAAAAGATGACCAAGTTACACAGTTCTTATTCTGTGGGTATCAATCCTGTTTTAAATGATATAAAAAGAAGCAAATTGTTATAATGACCTTTCAGCTTGAATATGACTGTTCCATAAGCCTGTCTGCCACAATTTGGTAATTTCTTCAGTTTCATGACGAGGAGTTCCCTCTGCGGTGTGGACAAACATCATCAGGGTCTTACCCTTCTTACTGATTTTTAACAGCTGCTCTGGGTCACTCATATCAATCTGGAAGAAAGGAGAGCTTGTTATACTGCATTGGGAGAGTGTTGCATTATAAATTTCACATCTCACTTACGCCGCTTAAATCCATTTTCGGAGAGGGGCGAAGGTGCTCAGGCAATTCATCAGGTGGTAAGGGCTCCTCATCCTCCTGGAACATAATCCAATTAGAGTATAAGAATTGCTGTAGTTTAGAAAATAAAACAGACCTGTTTGGAGCAGGTTGTCTTTACCTCCCACTGGTCCAGTAACCTTTCCATGTCAGCATCACTGAAGTCACGAATATCCTTCTTGGCCCATTCTGGCTTCTTATCGGGCTCAGCTTTCTTTCCATAAACAGACACACAAAGAAACAGCGCCAGACAAGTAAACACAAAAATCTTCTCCATTGCCGCACAATGAGCACGGAAAAAATATATTGGAAAATGACAACCGGCGCGTCGATCTGTCAGTGTCAGCAGCTTAGGATTCTGACAATAACGCAGACGAATCGCGCTATTCGCACGCCGAGATTGCCATGGAATCTGAACCTGAATGAAGATCTTTGAAAGCACACTGTTGACATTGACCCCCTGTTTACAACTGTCATGTGTTAGAGCTTGCCTTTTTTTGTTCTATTACATAACTTTACTCTTTAGAAAGAAGTCATGTTCTTCTAACAAAAATGTGACGCAGTCCTACAATGGTAAATAAGTGGAATGTAGTGTTTTTATTTTTTAAACTTTTTAAGGGCGTCTGTACCAGTCTGTACCTATGTGCGTCATTGCAGTAACAAATGCAGTGTTGTTATTTGGTTAGATTCATTGTCAAAACAATTATTTTCCCTTTCCAACATATGTTGTTTAAGGTTTTTGAATTATTTTTACTTGTGTATACTATAGCAAAGGGTTATGTACCTGACAGATGAAATTCTCAAGGTTGGAACCAGTTGTAACAGTGAAACCAGTCAATTCATGTTTGTCAGCTATTTTTTCCCCCTTTCATTATGCTCAAGAGTTATTCTACTCGGCCTTGCATCCTTGAAATCATGGTAATAAAGATTAATTTATCTTGTGCCCTGCTGTTTCCGAACAGGTGCTTCAAACAATGGCTCCTGAGACTACCAATTGGCAAGATTTGCGCAGCTTGGCCACACTTCTGAGAGATAATGGTGATCGTGTACTAAGTGGCAACAGCAAATTAAGACTCACATCTGCTCTCTTATCAAAGTTGAATGCAGCATTCTCAAGCATTTCTCTCCTTGGTTCCAATGGAGATTTTCAAGTGAGTACATTTTGCAGCATAGTGTGTTTTGTCCTTTGTAATTTGTTTAAATTTTCCTGATTTTTCACTTATATATGGACTGGTGCTTTAAATTTTGTGATTCTTTATTTATAATGCAGGTTACTTCTGCACATGCCTCCCAACCTCCCACAACTGCCCAGCTACACTTCTTGCATGATTTTGTACAAAAGACTGTTGGACTGACTCTAACAGGCAATGGAATATGCAAAAGAGACTTGGTTAATGCTCACCCAACAATTGACTTGAGTCGATTCAAATCACTTCGTCATCTTGAACTGCGAAGCTGCATTCTTTCCCATGGCTCTGTACCAAACCAAACGCTTGAGGGCCTCTCAACTCTGCGATCACAGTTGGAGGCCCTAGTGCTAGTACAAGTTTATCATTCAGAGGATCTTCTTTGGGAAGTTCTTGCAGGTGGAGCAGTATCCTCTGGCCCAGGTGTGTTTTTTTTTGCTGTGTCCTTTTAATGTAATTTTCTTAGTAAAATCTGGTAGGTGAGCATACAATGTTAAATGTATCTGCTTTTACCCCCTTTTCAGATGTTCATTGGATAAAGATGTCCCAGCTTGTAATAAGTTACTGTAGACTGAGATCTTTTGGAAATGGTTTGCCTTTGGCATGTAACTTGCAATGGCTAGATGTCAGCCACAATGAGATTGCTGATGCTGAAGCTGTGAGCTCTAGTCTGGCTGCCTTACCTAAATTATGTTATTTGAATCTAAGCTATAATCGTTTGACTAAAGTGCCTGTACCGTCATATGGTCCTCCTTGTCCAATTCAAATTTTACTTTTATCACACAATTATGTTGAAAATTTAAATGGTGAGTCAAAATTAAAATAGTTGGGTTGAGAATGAGGTTTGAAGAGGCCTAGAACTTAGTTTACAAACCACTATGTTCATCCTTTCAGGAATAGAGCGTTGGACTGGCTTAAGGGAGTTAAATCTCGAAGTTAATCAACTGCAAGACCATTCAAGTTTGCAACCTCTTCGCACCTTGTACCAATTGCAACATATTCGACTTGGTGGCAATCCAATTAGCTATCACAAACGTCATCGCTTACGTGCAGCGTCTTACATGCCTCCGAGGGCAGTTTTTCCCAAGGTGAGAGAATTGTTGGTGAGGATATCATAGTCCTGAGATGTTCTCAATAATGTTGCCTTTGGAACTGAAATTTTCTTCTTCAATTTTTCTTAGCACAATTATCGCCGAGATGCTGTCAAAATCAGCCCAGTAAGTTGTTTTTATATGCATTTTCTGTTGGGTTTATTTAAAATTTTATTTCATGTTCTGTTGCTTTTAAAATTGTTTGATCAAATAATCATGGGTAATTTTTGTTTAAGATATGCCACAAATTGTTACAGTTCATGATTGATGGTCAGAAACTCTCAGAAGCTGAATTACAAGCTGTTAGGGATGGTCCACTCCCTACAAATCTGAGTTCCAATTCAAGCAGAAGTGAACATGTCTCAATTGATCTGTCAACTGAATCCAGTAAGTTTACACTATTTTAAAGTGTGCCATCTGGAAGTTTGACTGTCATTTCCCTCATATTTATAACATTTTTTTTTCCAGACAAGATTCTTGAAAGCTCTGTAGTTTCTGGCTCAGAAATTGAAAGGTCAACCCGAAAGAGTCGGAAAGTAAGAGAAGTCAAAATTGAAGACTTTGACTTTGACACCCTTGATGAATTGCCTGACAAAAGCTTCACTTCAAATCAAATGACAGGTTCCATTGGTAAATATTTTGTTCCTTACTGTAACCATTATTTGTTGCATTTTTGAGATAAACAAAACAAAAAATATTTTGATTTGTCCCATTGTCTTTTTAGAATCATCTGGCGAGCATTTACAAACCAAGAAGCAGTTAGAAACGGTTAAAGCTCACTTTAAAGAGGACTGGTTGAGGGCACAAGGTGGCTTTGCTGTACAGGAGCTCATGGGACTGCAGCCCTCCTCAGCAGTTCCAGTAGGCAGTGTAGCCAGCATTTCAAGTTCCACCAGACCTTTGTTCAATTCAACACCTCTAGGCTCCCCCAAACCATCAGCTCTATATCCAGGTCACCTTGATGAGTTGGTGAGAAAGCTTCAAAGACAACTGAAATCCTTTTTAATCTCAGTTGACTTTATCGTCTACATGTTGTCTATTATATGCTGATGTGAATTGCAGGGGATTTTTGAGAGCATCATCCTAAGAAAGAGTCCTGATACTAGAGATAATAGTGGTGCAGGTCAAACAACACCATCTATGCAGTACCATACTGCTAATGACTCAGACACTGTGCTCTACGTATCTACTGGAAATGAGGAGACACTATTACCCGAGAATGGCCAGAATGGCCTTGCAGAAGCAGGCTATGATGCCGATCTTGATGAGAAACATGAACAAGAAGACGATGATGTGGCTAAACTTCAAGATTCTGAAGACTTTGATGGTAAGGGGCTGTTTTTTTAAATTTTGTTTATTTATGTTGAAGAAATCGAGAATATGTTAACAAATTTAATTTAATAATCTTATTTTGATCATTTAGCGGGGGAACATTCAACCTATTTAGTGACTAGAATTAACATGCCTCACAGAGATTTATTTCTTGTTACTACACCAAGGTAATCTTTGAATACATTATGGATAAGTTTACCTTATCAGTGAGTTGTTTTTAAATGTCTTCTTTCAATGGCTTTAGGTACATTAAGGAGATTGATGCAAATTCTGGAAGTGTCATTCAGCATTGGCGGCTTAACAGCCTAGAAAGTTGTGTTTTGCTGAGTGCTGTACCTTGTCAAGTTCAACTTACTTTCAACACAGCTGTACCATCTAAAAAAACGCGTGTTTATGAAATGGATTCAGATGAGGCACAGAAAGGACTTCTGCCATCTTTGAAAGCCATCCTTGAGACCAGATCACTAAGTGCTTTGAATGTGGCTGCATTTCGTTGTATGAAATGCTCTGGAGAGTTCTCTGTTGAGCTGAACTCACGTAAAGGTCTGTTCCTTTTTCAAATGTTGGCATACACACAGAACATGTTTATTTCTCATAAATTTTTTGAAAAAATGTGTACTAAAGTATTTTTGTGTGCATGTTTTTTTGTTGTTTTTTTTCAGCTACAAAAGTATGCCCAACATGTGGATCTACTTTGGTGTTTGAGTTGGATGAAGCTCCACTTCCTACCCTTGGCTCATCCCAAGGCGGTCCCAAATCCCAAATTGAATCGGCCGTTGTTACACCTTCTGCACCTGTTCCACAGCCATCATCGGAGCTCCTACATTCACCCTCTGATTCTAGTATAGGTATGTAATGACCTTCAAAAGTATCTTGTTTAACAAGCCAAAAGGAAAACAAACTAACTCTATCTATTTTGCACTAATACATGTACATTTATGTATATTAAAACAATAATTTTGGAAAATGCTTTTTGAATACAGTATAACTTAGATGACTGCAGTATTAATACAGTTTAGACAAGTAGTTATAACTTAATTTCCATTTTATCTTGTGCTATGCCCTTATTCAAATATCTCCTTCACATGGTGCATGAGGAAAATGTGCATGTTTTAGAAAATGTGGGTGTGAATTCACGAGCATCAAGACTCCAGGTGTTTGCAGAAGTCCATCCTTCCCCCTCCATAGCGCCCAGTAAGATTTAATAGCACATTTTCTATCTGAAACTTAACATTCTTTTAAAAATGTCTTGCTTCTCTTTGATATTTTTCATTTGATCTGAAGCTACCGCTTGACATTCATTGGCCAGATTTTGCACCTTAGTGGTTTCTGGTTACACATCTTTCATTGCATGTTTTTTTTTTGTCATTTTATTTTATGATATCATCTAAACTCTAACCAAATTTTCATGTAAATCGTCTTATGAAAGTGATTGCTGTTAGTATCCTCTACCTGCTCTTTATTTCAGGATCAGCTGTTTCCTTGGAATCTCCAGGAAGTGTCATTCAGCCATTGACTGACTACCCAGCTACTGTCAATCAAAGCCTACGTAGGTGTGAAAGTGATATTGACATTATAAGCAACCCTAGTCAAAGCAGTATTGAAATTTTGGATGACGTGAGCCGGTATGTTTCAGCATTTTTTTAAAATGACTATCTATTGTTGTTTATCTTCTGTGAAAATGGGTTTCATTACCTTGCTTCTGCCTCCCAGTACTAGTGGCACTCCAGGCCGCAAACGCTCGTCAGAGGAAAGACAAGTAGTTGCTATCCCAAGTCTTGTCACTGTTCCTGAGGTATCAAGTACACTCAGTCCCCTCCCTGCGGGCCTTACTGAAAGCAGCTCATCTGGTCTGAATCTATTGACAAGTCTTAATCATTTAAAAGTTATAGAAAATGCATTTTTAATTGCTGACCATTTCTATTTTGCAGGATCGATTACTGACAGTGTTTGCACTGCCTATGAGAATAACACAGGTACAGGAGGGATGGGTCTGCGCCGAGGAGGTCAAGGACTTGCAAAGTCAGTTCTTAAGGAGGAGTTCAGTAGAGAAAATTCACCTCGGTATAAAGAGGAGCCTGAGCAACAGGAGCCTTCACCACAACCCACGTCATTATCTAATGTATTAGACAGTATGTATCATCTTCTTATATTGGTATGAGACATATTCAACAGTTGCTAAAAATAGTATTTCTATTTTAGATTTGTTGCAAACTATGAGCTCAAAGATTTCTGCATCAGAATCTTTGGAAAGAAAAACCAGAAAGAAAAATGCTGTTCCTGATAGCATCATCCAATATAACTATGTTGATTTCTCTGCTGTGGATCATCGGTTGAAGCTCCACCTCCATTTATCTATATTGGATGCAGATGAACGGGAGGTGCTACAGCTGCTATTAAGGGTGAGCAAATCTGTCAATCCACACCATTGTTAGAAATATAAAATAATAAATGTCTAATTTGGTTATCTTCTGTTCTCTACAAAGGGAGAGGTTGTGACCGGAGTTCCTGAAAATCGCTATCCAGGAATCCTTCTCATCTCATCTCAGAAGGTTTACATAATGAAAATCACTGGACCAGAGGAGGGTGATGCAGTGGACCGTTGGATTTCCAGAGTTGTTGCTGTTCCTCTGGAAAAGCTTCTGTCAATTACAGCCTTGCCATGGGGCTTGGGGATATCTCTGACTCTTCAGGGTGCATCAACAAACAACCTGGTTATGGTGCTGAGAGATCAACAGTATACTCATAGCTTTTTTACTTTTCTAAAAGGTAACTTGTTCATTCTGTATTATTTAAAAAAAAAACTTGCACTTGCACTTGTAGCTTCATCGATGCATTTGTTGTTTTCTGTCACTTTTAGGTTTGTCTAAAGAACCACATTGGAAGATTGAAAATGTTGCTCCAGAGAAACACTCCTTATGTGCAACAGGAGCCTTGCAAGATATGATTAAGAACATTTTGCCTGAGGCAGATTTATCAATAAAACTCGCTGCATTGCTTTGTTCATGTCATATTTCCAAGGATGAAGGTTTGTACTGCCTCCTAACCAGTGGAAACTCGCACTTTGACCTAAGTGAACTCTGATGTGTTCTATATCTTAATGTATCCTATTGCAGAGGATGAGAATTACCCTGGGAGTTTGCTGCTGGTTACAACAACAAGTCTTTTGTTGACTTCTGACAATTTGCATTGGCTCATGCCTCCTGAATACGCAAGTGCCAATGAAGTTGCTGCTGAATGTATTGGCAAACAATCAATCAGCAACCTTATCCAAGTGGTATGTTATCTGGTTTCCTTAAATGTAGTTGTTCACAAGTATTCAAAGATTTGTGCTGAATGTTTTCCTGTTTTATTTTTGTAGGAATCTGATGGAGCTGCTATGTGGCTCCAATTTTTGGATGAGGCAGCAGGGGGAGAAGAAACATGGAAACTCAACCTTCAGTCTGAAGATGTTCTTGAACAAATTGTAGCAGCTATACGCTCACCATGGGAAGAACTTTTTTCAGTGCCTCTGCATGTAGTCCAAGTTAATAAAACATAATTTTTATTCTAATTTCTACAAGAGTAAGAATCAGATGCCAACTTTTATTCGATTTAACTAAAGACAGTAGTTTAAATCATCTGCCTTACCCTTAACTGATATATTCAATATTTTTGAAGGATTCTACTTGTTAACAATCAAAAGTCATTCTTATTTATTCATCTGTGATATTTATATATTCATCATTAGTATTTTATTCGGGAAAGGAAAAGAACAATCTTTATAAGTTGTGCTATGGCTGTGGCTGATAAATGACAATTTGTGAGAAGTCGCTCTTGTACTCATGCTGTACTCAGGCTGCCTTTGTTTTTGTGCACTTATTTGAAAGATCAGCCAAAATAACAATGCAATAATAGTATGAATACTTGTTTAATAACATGTTGAGATATTTTTCTGTAAGATTTTATGCATCTCAGGGCTACATCTATTTCCTATGCAAGCATGAGGTGTAGCGACCTATGTTTTGATCGTACTGTTTATACTTGCTTTAACTTTCTGTTCTTCTACTCAAAGGAATAGAATAGGGTCTGTTATTGTTAATAAATTTACTTGTTGAAGTTAACTTTTAAATGATTGGTTCAGGAACCAAGTTTTTACATGCTATCTAAACACACCAACTGTGGTGTGCCAAACATTTTGTAACTTATAATGTTTACACAGTTTTATGTATCTCCATATACCGTTCAGAAATGCTGAAAACAATAAAGAAATATATTTTAATTTAAATCCTTTTTGTTGATTCTGTGATTTAATCCATGACGACGCGGTGCACTGGAAAGTGGTCAGAGAAATGAAAAAAATGGAGGGGAAAGGGGATTTGGAGCGCCAATGCAAAAGGCTGGCTCTCTACAGCAGCAGTAGCCACTCTGGCTGCGGACTCTGCAGTGCCTTTGTCACTCTGTCTCTCTCGCGTCCCTCAGGTGTACTTGCGAGAAAGAGAGAGAGAGCGACGAAAGCGCTGTTCGGAATGGGCTGAATGGGCCCACGGTGCGTCTGCGCGTCTGCGCTGCGAGGCTGCGGATTGTGGGTGGAGGGGGTGATCCATCTTGTCCGTCAGCGCCCATTAGCGCCACCGCACAATTTGCTACCCCCTGCCGGCAGATTCCGGATTCCGAACACTCCCTCTCTCTCGCACTGACGGGCCGTGCCGTGAGGGTGTGAGGAAGACCGAGAGACGAAAGCAGTGTTCGAGTCAGTCTGCTGGCTATCCCGGCCCGCCACCCCTCGCTTCCCTCCACCTACACCTTCGCAGGGAAGGACAGTCCCGTGCCCTGGGGTGTGGGATGGGTCGGTCTAAAATTTGTTAAAATTTGCCAAACGGGCAGAGTAAGCGCCCCCACAGATCACTGAATTTTAAGCGCAGCTTGAAAAGCCGCAACCATCGCTTATCCAGAGTTTCCCTCGCTGGGTGGTAACCTCCAGGCCTCCAGGGTGTCCTTCGCGCGCCCTGCGCCCCGCTGCGCTGCATTCACAGTGCTGCTGCCTGCTGCTGCGTGCTGTGACCCACAGCTTGACGGGCGACACGCTCGGAGCTACTCCTCGCCAACTCGCATAGCCTGCATCGCTCTGCCTCTCTCGTACCCATACGGCGCGCCCCGTGAGTGCGAGGGAGACAGAGCGACGCGGGAGCGGGAGCACCGTCCGGAATCATCTGAGGTGCTGGTCCGCGTCCACGCCCCAGCGGGGCATCGGGGCTCTCCTCCCGCGAGACGGGACGGCCGCAGTACGAACAGTGTCTCGTCGCTCTGAGCCTCCCCCGTGGGAATGGGCCTGGCCCGGCCCGGCAGCCCAAGGGTAGCGGGGTTTAGCCCGGGCCGCGTTCGGGGGACCGGGTGCGGTCGCGGTCAGGGGCCGCGGTCAGGGGCCGCGGTCAGTGCGTTTAGCGTGCAGCCTGCAGCCTCCACACCACAAAAACGAACAGCACACCTACCTGCCCGGCCTGGAGCGCGACGACGACCATCAGATAACGGACACGCCGGCGCCCTGCACCTCACATCATCACCCGACCGCGGCCGGGGCCAGGCGTCACAAAAAGGGGCACGAAAGGTGAAAAGTACTCGAGCGCAGCGGCGGCGGCGCCACACAGAGGCCGGTCTGCCGTGCGGCATCGAACATCGAACCCCGATCAAGCGACATCCAGCCCCGAGCGGCCGCTTCGATCTTCGATTCGAGATCTCGATAACCGCGACGACAAGGCAGCGGCAGGTGCGGCGGGCCGCGCGGGGCAGTGGCAGGCAGTGGCCGCGTCGCCATCGCCCACTTTTACATCTCAATTTTGGGGCGCGCCGGGGAAGACGGCCTGTCGGCTGGTTCAGAACCGACCTCTCCTGTCGCTGTCTCTCTCGCACTCAGACGGAACGCCCAATGAGTGCGAGGGAGACAGAGCGACTGTTCAAAGTCAACCGGCTGGACCTGAACCGCGCGGGCGGAGGTCGGGCCGGCGCCCCTTCGACGGCGGCCCCGGCCTCGACGGCGTCCTAACGTCCAACTCGCTACTCTCCGCACTCTCCAGGAGGAAGAACGAAAGGGGGGGGAGGGGCGATTTGTTCGACGAGACGAGGGTGGGCAGGTGGGCATCGCGAGTGGAGCGAGGCATCAGCGGCATCAGCCGTGCGACGCGCTGCGAGGCACGACGCGTTACAAGGCAGACAGCCTCCCCACGGGGGATGGCATGGCATGGCGTGGGATGGGGGTTTCGACAGACACCTCAATGGCACGGGGACGCGACTCGCTGCGATGCGACACGCACGGCAAAAACTGTCCCGGTTTGTCCGTTTGCCGTAGGGGTATTGGTGAAGCGACTGTTGTAGGATGCATCCCGGGAAGACCTATGGGAAAGTCGAGAGTCGACAGCGGCTTCACCTAATGCCCTTGACTCAGGTCCTTACCTTTCAAACCACGAAAAAGTATTGCAACCGCTTCGTTTCAGTGGAGCGAGGCGGATGCGGAGTTCCGCGACTGGGTGTGTTTTCTTTCAAGAGCCGCCCGACCACAAGAGCCGCCGACCCACGCACATCGAAGACTTTTTGCAATCAAATCTAACTTAACTCTGCCGCTGTTTGTTTGCGCCTCCAAATTTCCCTCTCCGTCGGCGACCGACCGGCGACCGGCCGGTCGACCGCCTGCCGGCGTGGCGCGTAGGCAACCCGCGCAAACGCCGCGCGCTCGTGTTGCCTACCGGGCGCGGCGGCTGGCGAGGCTGGCGAGGCTGGTAGGCTGGCGGCCGCGGCCGCGCCTCAGCGAGCAGCCTCGGCCTCGGCCAACTTTGGCAGCGCCGTGCCGCGTGCCTTGCCGTGCCCGAGGCCGTGCCGTGCGGAGTGCGGACGGAGTCGCCGCCTTTGACGCTGACGCTGACGGGGACCTACGGGGACCTCCGAGGCAACGACGGCCCACTTTGCCTGGCGGCCGCACGGCGGTGGCGGCGCGGCCCTGGGTGTCTGGCGGCCCGGCCCGCCCCGGGATATGTGTCAATTTGGACCTCAGGGCCGGGCCTTGCCCCACCTCACCCCGCCCGCCCGACAGTCTGACACACTGGTTCCAGTCGCCTCGTCGCCGGGTCGGGACCGCACGGTTTACAATACAAAGCCAATCATCGCCTGCTAAAGGAAGTCGCTCGGAATAAGAGAAGCCGGAGGCAGCCCCCTCCCCCCCCCCCTTCCGCGGGAGGAGAATGTCGATATAATGAGAGAGAAGCGAGGAGCGCGGCGGAGAGGCGGAGTGCCCCGACGTCCCGCGTCCTGATAACGCCGAAAAATGTACACAGAAAACTGGAGGAAAATGCACAATAATACGGGAGAGGGAGGGGCGGAGAGAAAAAAGGAGACGAACAAGCACCCATGGGAGAGCAATACATCATCCAAGGTTGGACAGTCGGCCCCCAGCACAGGCAGGACGGCGTAGTCCTAACAGGCGTGGCGCGGCGCGGCGCAGACAACAAGCAGAAGTCCTCGCGTTGGGGTGACGGAGACGGCCGCCGCGCCTGCGTCGCCGTCGGGGGTGCGACAGAGCGCGCGGCCGGCCGCCACCCATTGGCGGGGAGGTCCCCGGCCGGGCCGCCATTGGCCGCGCCGCTCCCCCCTCCACGCCCCCGAGGGACGCGCCGGGCCACGCCCCCCTGGCGGCTCCTCCCAGGACTCCCCGGCGGCATGGCCAGCTGAGCGCTGCGCTGCGCTGGGCCTTGGTTGCCTTGGTCCTCAGTCCTGTGCGAGTGGCCCGCGCGAGCCACGTCCACGCCACGCCATTCGCGGTCACGACGACGCCACGCCGTCGAACGTCGAGAACGCGACGCCGCGACGCGCCGCAAAGCGCCGCGACGCCAGGGGGCGACACCGGGACACGGGACGGACGCGTCCTCGCCGCGGTGCCGCGCAGTGACAGTGTCAGTGTGAGGGACGTGTCAGGGACGTGTCAGGGACGCGCCGGGGACGGGCCGGGCTGACGGACTGCGGCATGCGGTGACATGTGACGCGCCCGCGGACGCGCCTGGCCTCCCGACGGCCGGACTGGCCCGCCAAGATGATGACCATGAACATGTATGGATGCCCGCCCCCCGAATGGGGACACACGCCCCCCGTGGGGTCCATGGGGGCGGGGGCGTGCCTGGGCCATGACGGCTACGGCGACGTGCCGCCCCACGGCTACCTGGGCGCCACGGCCGCCTACTACCCGCACCAGTACTACCCGGAGTACTCGCAGCAGCAGCAACAGCAGCAGCAACAGCAGCAGCCCGGGGTGGGCGTCATCACGACGGACGACGGGCTGAGCTACACCAACCTGGACTACGGCCCCTACGCGCCGCAGCACCACGACGTGGCGTCGCACGCCAGCCACGCCAGCCACGCCAGCCACCCCCATCACCCCCAGCAGCACGCGCAGCACGCGCAGCATGCCCAGCACGCCCAGCACGCCCAGCACAGCCCCACGGGGGCCGTGGCGGCGCTGCCGGCGCCCCTCAAGGTGGAGCAGCCCCAGCACATGTTCGGCGGGCCGCAGGAGGACCTGTACGACCCGCTGGTCCCCGTGGGGGGCGTGCCGGGCGTACCGCTGGGGCATGTCGGCCACCACCACCACCTGCACCACCACAACCTCCACCGGGACGACGCCGGCGTGTACGGCGTGCCCCGGACCGAGTCGCAGTACCTGGTGCAGCGGTCGCCCGCCTCGCCGCACCACTTCAAGGAGGAGTTCTCCCTGGCCGAGCCGCACCACGGCACGGCGGCGTGCCAGCCCCAGCAGGGCAGCGCCACGGTGCAGGGCCAGCAGGGTCAGCAGGGACAGCAGCAGGGACAGCAGGGCCAGGGCGCCGGTCTGATCCTGGGAGGCGAGGCGCCGTACTCCCACCTCCACCTCACCCCTCACCACCACCACCCCCATCACCACCACAATGTGCACCACCAGCTGCAGCATCAGGGGCAGATGCAGCAGCAGCAACAGCAGCAGCAGCCCCAGCCGTCTCAGCAGAGCGCCCCGGTGCCCACGTACAAGTGGATGCAAGTCAAGAGGAACGTCCCCAAGCCGTCAGGTGAGGCGCCCTCATCCCCTTTCCCCTTCCCTCACAGCGACCCTCGTTTCATTAGGCAATTAGCACCCCGGCGCCGAGATTACCGCCGGGATTTTGGCTGTCAGCTCGGGCTGTCCCGCCGGGAGGCGGCCGGGCGGGCTGGCAGCAGCGCCACGGCGGGGCCGATGGCCGGTACTACACCCTGCAGATGCACCGACCGCCATGCCGCCCAGGATGGCATGGATATCCAGCCGGATTTAGATTACGCCCGTCTGGCCGACCCGTCCGGCCCGGGCTTTAGATTGACGCGTTTCGAAACGCCTGCGCGGTGATAATCGCTTGCGAATCGGAGCGAATCACTGTTTACAAAGTCGGCCGTTTTGCCGCAGTCTCTGCAGTGCGCGGCGCGCTGTCGCGCTGTAAGTAGAGGCGCTGATAGTGGCGCGTCGCGGCCACGCCGTCGGCCGTCGCCGCGACGCCAGGAGGATTTCTCTATCGGACGGAGCGCCGACGCGACGCGTGCCCGCCGCCTGCTGCCCGCCGCGGTACTCCGTTCGGAACCACCGCTCTACTTTTCCAGCTGGCTGTACAGTGTAGCGACCGTTTCCTCTGTTTGCGGACGCAGCGCCGTAGCGCCGGCCAGCTTATCAGGGCGACACCTCCAGAACACCCCCTGCAAGGCGCCGCAGGTCCACAACATGCTGATTCCGAACAGTGCTATGCAGACTCTCTTTCTCTCACACTCGAAGCGCGCCGCAGCGTGCGAGAGAGACAGCGACGAAGCACCGTTCGGAATGGGCTTGCTGGGGATGGGATGGGATGGGATGCGGTCTGGAGACCGCCGGACCGCGGAGGAGCGTCTTATCGGGTCACACCACCTCGCCAAACGCCGAACGAAGGGCGCCTCGAGGCACCCAAGGATGCAGCAGTGCAGCACCGTCTCGAACCTAGAGCCCTAGAGTCCTCGAACGGACGCGGCCACGCCACTGCTCGTTCTCTGTTTTCCGTGCCAGCCACCAGGGTCTTGGTGCGGCTGCGGCGGTGCTGGAAGGTCCTCGTCGTGGACAAGGAGGCCGGCCCGGTGGTCGCAGCACGCAGCTCGTGGCGTCGAGGGCCGCGGCGGACGGCATGCCCTGCACGACGGGACGGGCTGACGGCAGGACGGGCAGGACGGGTAGGACCCGGCGGGGCGAGTCCGAAGAGCATGTCGTCGCTCTGTCTCTCACGCACCGCCACGGCGCGTTCTCTGAGTGCGACGGAGACGGGGCGACGCAACGACTCTCCGGAATCAGTGTGCAGGCAGCCCAAGGCAGCCCAAGGCAGCCCAAGGCAGACCAAGGCAGCCCAAAGCCCGGCCAGAGATAAGGGCGAGTGAAGCCGTCGGCACGATTCCCTCTCGCTCGTCTGCGGCAGGGCAGGCGGGGCACGGCACGGCACGGCACGGCACGGCACGGCACGGCACGGCAGGGCCGAGGGGGACGGGAAGGGACGGGGCGCAGACGGCCGGCTTGACTCGCGCCGCGCGCCCAATGAATGAATTAACCAACGACTCGACTCGACGAACGGAGAATCGGATCAGGGCGGTATCGCTGTCCGGAAAGGCACCGGTCGAAACTGATGAATTTCCAACCTGCGCTCGCGCGGCAGCCCCGTCCGCCGTCCGCCGATTACGCGCAATCGGCGTGTCGACTAATTGTCCGAAGCGGTTCGTGAATGAGAGCCTCGAGCCGAGGCGACGAAGGAGCGGCAATTTTACAGAAATCGCAGGGAAACGTTGCGTCGCCCCGAACCAACCGCATCGCAGTGCAGGCCCTGCAGGCGGGGAGGGGAGTCGTTGGACTCCACTCCGACTCCGGGTGCGGCGGTGCGGCGTGCCCGCGTGCCCCGGCGTGCCGTGTGGGATAGCGCTCCCCGGGCAAACGCCACGCCAGGATCAGATGACTTTCCCCTAGGTGTGCGTGTGTGTGTGTTGGTGTTAGCTTAATCGGGGTGCATGAAGCAGGGGTGGATTTCTGTGGTGGGAGATAGAATTCGGGCGGGGCCCGCCAGGGCCGCCAGAGCCGCTGCAGCAGGGGTAGGGGGACTGGCGGGGTGGCGGGGTGGGCTTGGGGTGCAAAACTCGCTCAAGTTACGCATGCGGTGTGGGAGTCGGGGAGTCTATGAGCCGCCAAAGTTTGGCTGACGCGGCCGCAGGGCGTCGCAGGCCCAGGGGGCGCTGGTGGCTTTGCCTCATTTTTATATTGGCCTCCGCGCGTGCCAGCCACCCCCTGCACCCCCTGCACCCCTCCCATCCGGGGCCGGTTCCGCCCGTTCCGCGGCGAGGTGCCCGACACCGTCATCCTGCCGGCACACTGATTCGGAGAGTCGTTTTCGTCGCGCTGTCTCTCTCGCACCTATACGGGACACCCCTTGAGTGCGAGAGAGACAGCGCGACGAGGCCGCCTGCCTGCCTGCTATAGACTAGACGCGCCGGCGTGGCGCCTGCTTCCTTACCTGGAACCCAGCCTTGTTTGTTTTTCCAACATTTCCCCCTTTTTAATTTTATTTTTTTCTCCCCTTTGGACAGATCATTTCTTTGTCACTTTGTCGACGCGGGGGCCGGGCCTTTGCCGGGCTCTAACAGCCTTAGCTTGTAATGCTGGATTACTGAATGTACCGCCGCGACTCCAGTGCACCGACACCGACAGGCCGACAGGCCGAACCTCGGGGACGGTCTGAGTGGACAGTGGACGCGCCTGGAGCCGGACATCGCGAACCGTCCATTGATCGGAACCCTTTTCTGCTCCGGTCGTCGCCTCTGCACGCCTTGTTGCACGCACGCTGATGCATCCAGAGGGGCGGGGGGTTGTGTGTCGGGGGGTTGGGGAAGGGGGGGGGTGACGCCGTAATGATAATGTCAATATAAGCAGCGTGGCGTGGCGGGCGGGTCGCCCCGGGCGGAGCAGCGGAGCAGCGGAGCCGAGCAATGTTGCGGTGAAGTTTTATTCCCTGAGTAGAGATCCGTGTCACTACACGATACGGCTCGGCTACCCGCCTCGGGAAGGGGGAAGGGGGCGGGGGAGAGCAGCGGCGGCGGGACATTTTGAATATTAAAAACTCATCTTGACACATGGAGGACATCTCCGTGAGGGAGCGGCTGTAAATCCGACGAACTTCATAAGGTCAAAAAAATCTGGTTGCGAGCAGCAGGGCATGCTTGCAACCAGCTGGTCGGACCTCGTCTGTAAATAATACGGTATCACACTGTATCCAGTCACCTGCCGAGCAAAACTTTTTAAAAATGTAAAAACAACTCCTTGCATAACACTGTATCCAATCAACTGTTCAATATTTGTCTTTTGTGTCTTTTGCGTCTGCATATAGCGCCCTGACAGTCCAAACTTCGATTCCCTATTTTTGTTCAGAAAATTGAGACCTATGAAGGCCCGGACAGCCCTGCCAGCGCGGTCTCGTGCCCCGTATAGGTGCGAGAGAGACAGAGCGAAGAAAAGCGACTCGCGGAATCACGCGGACGTCACGTCCGACTCAAAGTGGTGCTTGCCCCGCGCTGGCTTTATGGGCAGCGGGCATGGCAAGGTCGTCAAGGCCGACACACATTCTGAGCCACCACGTGGTCGCAGGATCAGTGGCGTCCGGAGGGGTGGAACGGAAGAGGGTAACCTCGCCAAGGCCACATGCAACCATGGGCCTTCCCCCCGATGGTGTTCTGGGGTTCGGCAATTCGCAGACTCAACCAGCAAAATGTTTGGCAACACCTCCCTGACGAACGGGGCTCACGCCTGCGGGGCTGCGCAGGAGGTTAGGTTAGGTTGACTATGTACTGTAGTGACAACGCAGCACGACGCACGTCTAGCCGGCAGCCAGCGCCGCAGCCAGCACGAAGCGGGGCGCGGAAACCCGACTCGTGCGTCGCGATGCTCATATGCCTCGATGCCCCGCGGGCCTCAGCGCCGGAGTCCCCTCGTCGCCTCGTCCTCGTTTTGGGTGGTCTCCCCCTCCCCCCTCGCCCGTGTCTCCAGCAGGCAGCAGGCTGCGTGGCCAGGCGAGAGAGTCACCATGCCATGGGGCACCACGACGCCGCGACGGCGACGGCGGCCTCGCGTGGCGTCGCGCGTCGCCTCCCGGAGTCCCGGAGTTTCCAGAAGTGGCGCCGTTTGCCGCGGTCCTCCACCCTCACCTACAGTGGCGTCGCGCGTCGCCTCCCGGAGTCCCGGAGTTTCCAGAAGTGGCGCCGTTTGCCGCGGTCCTCCACCCTCACCTACAGTGGCGTCGCGCGTCGCCTCCCGGAGTCCCGGAGTTTCCAGAAGTGGCGCCGTTTGCCGCGGTCCTCCACCCTCACCTACAGTGGCGTCGCGCGTCGCCTCCCGGAGTCCCGGAGTTTCCAGAAGTGGCGCCGTTTGCCGCGGTCCTCCACCCTCACCTACAGTGGCGTCGCGCCTCGACAGGACAGGACACGGCAGGGCGCGGCGCGGCACGGCACGCCACGTTCTAATCAATCACTCTCCATTAGCCCGGCCAGCCTGCTGGTGGGGCTCCTTGTTCCTTGTTCGCGGCAATTAACAGTGCGGTTCACACTTTGGCAGCGCAAACAGACACGCCCGCCGCCACGCACCGCCACGCCAGGATTATTAAATCAAAAAGTTTGACCGTCGCCAAAAGGGGCGGGAAAAAATCACGCTAACGCGTGTCCAACCCTCAAGGGCCAACGGGGGGAGTTCTAAGAAACGGGTGTGACGGCTGGGGTGGTTGCCGTTTGGGCCGCCGTCACCTTGATAGGTCTCAAAAAGTGCCCCCCGCCGATCCTTAGCCCCGCGCCACTGGTGTGTGCGTGTGCGTGTGTGTGCATGCATGTGCATTTGCGCGTGTGTGCCTACATGTCGGTACGGCCGGTAAGATGGAGCGGCCCGGCATTAATTTGCTTTGTTATTCGCGCTGATTTTCCATTCCCCATTTTCCCCGCGCATAATCGCCGCCAGTGCTGACTTCTGCTGACAACCCGGCAGAACAGTAAGCAAATAAGC